TCTCTGTCTCTGTCTCTGTCTCTGTCTCTGTCTCTCTGTCTCTCTCTCTCTCTCTCTCTCTCTCTCTCTCTCTCTCTCTCTCTCTCTCGTGTGTGTGTGTGTGTGTGTGTGTGTGTGTGTGTGTGTGTGTATACGGTCACTATGAGGTAAAAGTAGTCTCGACCACAATCTCCTGACACCATGGTATTCTTCCTCACAATGGTCTCAAAATCAACATAGTGAAGGACTCTGTCAAGAACCTTCTGAGCCAGGCAGTGGTGGCACACGACTTTAATCCCAGCACTCAGGAAGCAGAGCCGGGTGGATCTCTGTGAGTTTGAGGCCAGCCTGGTCTACAGAGCGAGATCCAGGATAGGCACCAAAACTATACAGAGAAACCCTGTCTCGGAAAAAACAAAAACAAAAAACCAAAAAACAAAAACAAAAAAAGAACTTTCTGACACAGGTAAAATCAATCTTTGTTCCCCTCCTGTTTTCAGTGCATTTGTGTTTAGTACATTTAGTACATTTGTGTACAGTGTTTTGTCACTGTAACATAAAATAGCTAATTCTCATGCGTCCTTCGTTTGGTCTTTGTTGTTGTTTGTTTTCATATTACAAGATTATGGTACAAATGGTTCCTGTGTTGTTTTTGTTTAAGAAATCACTTGAAAGAATCCCACAGTTCTTGAACAATCTTTATCCTTCCCCCATCACAGAAATATCCTTGGATACTTACAACACATAGTATTTGTATAGAAAACACATTAGAGTTCACAGAAAAAAACTCAGTAATAAAACTCCCCATCACTGAGAATCAAGTTAATCAGCATTTCTTACCATAGATAGTTTCATGGCTACCTTCCATTGACTGTCATCAAAGAAAAACTACAAGAGAATGAAATATGAACTTCTAGGACCAGAATGATCCATCTTCTGTGACATTGAGCAGACAAATGCCTTCAATGTCTAACTTTTATTAGTGGGCAAAAAATGACTATAAATTCATAATGAAAGAAAAGGATAGAACAATAACTCAGATATCATAATGACAGATTATTGAATTCAAACTCTTCAAGGTGTATTCCTAAATTCAAAAGAGTTTAAACATGACAGAATTTCCTGGGTCTGGATGGAATTGGAAAGGGATTCTCTATTGCCTAGTAAAGTAGAGAAATTTTGTAGTTTTCTTTTCATCGTATAAAATGATATTTTCAATATATCTTTCAATACATTATCTTATTCAACTAAAATTGATCAAAATGGCTAAAGTGATTTTGCCATCTGTGGTGTTCAAAATTCCCATTCCAAGAGCAACAAAGGAAGGATATTCTTAACATGATTCCCTACTAGTTTAAAGCCTGTCTCTTAAGAATAGGGGGTAGGACCTTTTAGAGTCAAAGAAAGAATGTGGTGTCACATAGTCCTATGTTCTAGGATGAAATGGTTGGATAATAACCAGCTTAAGAGGGCATTGCAGTATCGGGGTACAGGCTTCAATGCCGACTATCTAGAGATATTTGTGTTGGGTATATCATTCTGATTCTATTCTTACAGAATATAGTGACAAATAAATGTAAAAAAGATTTACACCTCTATTTTTACATTTTTTATGTGTATGTGTGTTTTGCCTGCATGCATGTCTGTGTACCATGTGTATACTTGGTGTCCATAGAGCCTTGAAGAGGGCATTGGCTCCCGTGAAAGTGGGATTTATAGATTTCTAGTTGCCATGTGTATGCTAGGAATCAAAGCCAAGTCCACTGGAAGAAGAGCAAGTGCTCTTAAACACTAAGCCAATTCCACAGCCCTCACCTCTATTTTCAATTCAATTGTAGCTCATGATGACTGATGTCAGATAGCAAATGAAATGCACTAGCTCACTCCTGCTGTGTTATCGTGTTAGGCAGGGTCTTGATATGCAGAATGTGCTATCCAGGAACTCACTGGGAATCCAGACTATCCTCAAACTCATGATCCTCCTGTCTGTGTCTCCTACATACTTGTATTACAGGAGTATGTCACCATACTTGGTTCCTTCAATCTTTTTCACTCTGTGAACTGCACAAGTCCTGACAGCTGGAAATGATGTAGCATGAAATGTACTCTTTGTAGCTTAGATCACAACCCCTAGAATCAAATGGCTTTTAGCTATTGCTCTCTGGATTTCTCCAGCTCCTCTTTTTGTAGATTGAGGATAATAACCCTAAGCCAGGTGTAGTGACACACATCTATAGTCTAATTACTTGAAATGATGAGGCAGAGGATTGCTTGAGTTCAAGGTCAGCCTGGGGAACAAAGGCAAACATCTTCAAAATAAAAGAAAGAAAGAAACCCATGGATCTTTGTCCTTTGTAGATGAAAGATTATTGTCTGTAGATGTCATACCTAGGACCTCCAGGAATAGAGCAGACTGCCAGATACTAAAATGAGATGACACATTACATCAATTATCACATACTCCATTGAGGAAACAGCATAACAAGTCATAAACAAAGCATTTCAGAGAGTGGAAAAGGTTAAGTGGAAGACAGAACAATGTTATGAATACAGGATACCAACATCAAGGGTGCTAAACAGGATAGAAGAGCTGAGTCTGATGACCTTGCAGAGCTCAAGGAGCAATGGATCCGTAACCCCATCTTTCTTGTCTCTAACCCACACCCTCATCCTGGAGGCACCAGGCCACTTCTAACTGACAGGTCCTTGTGGTTTCACCTATATTAGCTTCTTTAGTTATGGTAGTTTTATATAAATAGTTGGAGCTTTGCGTTCCTGTGGAAACCATGGAACATTTGACCCTTTGAACAGTTTCCACCTGGTGACCAGGTATCTGACAATGATAATCACCATGGACAGGGTTTGCTCTTTATCTGACAACAATCCCCACACCCACACCCTGACTCAATCCAGAAAAGCAATACAGTAGGCACTCTGGGCTGGTAAGAGCAGGGTCACCAAGGAATTCAGGGAGATGAGTCAGGGAGGTGGAATCTGCTGCTCTCTTAATTTCGTGTTTCTCAAAGTTCTATTCAGCCTGACCCTGAGTTTGTGTGAGAGACCAGGGACATTCATTGGAAGTTATGTGGGGATGAAAGTGAGTTTTGTAAGAAATGTCATTTTTTTCTGGGGGGTCAGGAAGACTTTTTTAATCCAAACTCATTTAATTGTTCCCTTTGTAAAACATGTTGGGAAAATATTTTGGGAAACCTGTAGTAGTGCCTTAACTATCATGAAATACTACCTGGCACCTCCTTTGCATTATTTTTGCCAAATTCAAACCCCAACTCCGAGTGATGAATGGCATGGCTTGACTTTTTGCTCTGTTCTTTGCTTTCCTGGCCAACTTGCTTTCCAAGCAGGGTGACAGCCAGATCCCTAGACTCCCTCCACTGTGTTGGCACAGTGGCATAGCATCCGGACTCACTCGGCCTTTGCTTCTTTCTGAGCCTTTTAACTAAAGGTGCCATAAGTAATCTCAGAACTACTACTCAAATAAGTATCCACCACAAACAAGTCTGTTAAACCCAAGTATCATACTTGAAACATTTGCAAACTGTACGTAGTTTTCCTGTGGATTTTAAACAGTTCATAGAGGTAACATTTAAGCCTGTTTGTGAGATCATACCACCTGAGGCCAAGGGGATGAGGGGAGTTACTGGAGATTAGGCTCTAAATTCATTCCTCTAAAATGTTATCATGGTAATTCTAATGTGAGGAGAAGGTTGACTCCACTGCCTTAAACTTGGGAAATAGTTTATCTTTCTTTATATAACACCTGCCATAATAAGACAGTGTAACAAGGATGTATAATAGAGAAGTAGAAATAGAGTTCAAGAGGCTGTCCGGTGAGTCAGGAGAGGTGAATCTAGGACTACATTTCCCAGAAGGTGTTACTGAACAGCGACCCTCTCTTCCAAGATGTCAAAAACAAACAAATCCAAGTCTGGATCTCGATCTCGCTCAAGATCTGCATCCAGATCTCGGTCTAGATCGTTTTCCAAGTCTCGGTCCAGAAGCTGATCTGTCTCTTGTTCAAGGAAGCGCAGGCTGAGTTCTAGGTCTCATTCCAGATCATATTCTCCAGATCATAACAGAGAAAGGAATCACCCCTGAGTGTATCAGAATCGAGATTTCCGAGGCCACAACAGAGGGTACCTGAGGCCCTGTTATTTCTGTGGGCCAAACAGAGGCTTTTATCCATGGGGCCAGTATAACCGAGGCGGCTATGGAAACTATCGGTCCAATTGGCAGGACTACCGGCAAGCATACAGCCCTCGTCGGGGCCGTTCCCGATCCCGGTCCCCAAAGAGAAGATCCCCTTCACCATGGTCCAGGAGCCATTCTAGGAACTCTGATAAGTCATCCTCTGACAGGTCAAGGCGCTCCTCATCCTCCCGGTCATCCTCCAACCACAGCAGGGTTGAATCGTCTAAGCGCAAGTCTACAAAAGAGAAAAAGTCCTCTTCCAAGGATAGCAGGCCATCTCAGGCAGCTGGTGATAACCAGGGAGATGAGGCCAAGGAGCAGACATTTTCTGGAGGTGCCTCTCAAGATATAAAAGGGTCTGAGAGCTCAAAGCTATGGCCAGATGCCACCACCTATAGCACTGGTTCTACATCACGGGCCTCAGTTTCTGATCTGAGCCCGCAGGAGAGAAGCCCAGCTCTCAAAAGCCCTCTCCAGTCTGTGGTGGTTAGGCGAAGGTCACCGCGCCCTAGCCCTGTGTCAAAACCTAGTCCTCCACTTTCTAATACATCCCAGATGGGCTCGTCTATGTCAGGTGGTGCTGGACTTCAGTCTGGAACACACCAAGGTCAGTTTGACCGTGGCTCTGGGTCTTTGAGTCCATCTAAAAAGAGCCCAGTGGGTAAGAGTCCTCCAGCCACTGGCTCAGCCTATGGTTCTTCTCAGAAAGAGAAGAGGGCTGCTTCAGGAGGAGCAGCATACACAAAAAGGTATCTGGAAGAGCAGAAAACAGAGAATGGGAAAGATAAGGAGCAGAAACAAACAAATACTGATAAAGAGAAGCTGAAAGAGAAGGGGAGCTTCTCTGATGCTGATGTAAAAATGAAATCTGAGAAGCCCTTCCAAGGCAGCCAGTCACCCAAAAGGTATAAGCTCCGTGATGATTTTGAGAAAAAGATGGCTGACTTCCACAAGGAGGAGATGGATGAGCAAGATAAGGACAAAAGTAAGGGAAGGAAGGAACCTGAGTTTGATGATGAGCCCAAATGTATGTCTAATATCATAGCCGGTGCAAGCAAAAACCAGGAGGAAGAGAAGTCAGGCAAGTGGGAGAGCCTGGTGCATACGGGAAGGAAAAGCAGAGGAAAGCAGAGGATCTGGAGGATGAACCTTTCACAGAGAGATCCAGAAAGGAGGAGCGTGGAGGGGCCAAGAGGAGCGAAAGTGGGCACAGGGGCTTTGTGCCAGAAAAGAATTTCTGAGTGACTGCATACAGTCCAGGAGAAAAATTCATCACCTCCTCCGAGGAAGACCTCTGAGAGCCGAGACAAGCAGGGAAACAAAGGAGACTTTCCCTCTGGGAGGTCTTCCTTTTCCATTACTCGGGAGGCCCAGGTCAATGTCCGGATGGACTCCTTTGATGAGGACCTTGCACGACCTAGTGGCTTATTGGCTCAGGAAAGAAAGCTTTGTCGTGACCTAGTCCATAGCAATAAAAAGGAACAGGAATTTCGTTCCATTTTTCAGCACATACAGTCAGCTCAGTCTCAGTGTAGCCCCTCAGAACTGTTTGCTCAGCACATAGTGACACTTGTTCATCATGTTAAAGAACATCACTTTGGATTCTCTGGAATGACATTGCATGAACGCTTTACTAAATACCTAAAAAGAGGAAATGAACAAGAAGCAGCTAAAAATAAGAAAAGCCCAGAGATACACAGGAGGATAGACTTTTCCCCTCGTACATTCAGAAAACATGGTTTGACTCACGAGGAAATGAAAAGTCCCCGGGAAGCTGGCTACAAGGCTGAAGGCAAATACAAAGATGATCCTGTTGAACTTCGCCTTGATATTGAGCGTCGTAAAAAAAAACATAAGGAGAGAGATCTTAAGCGAGGTAAATCAAGAGAGTCGGTGGATTCCCGAGACTCTAGCCACTCAAGAGAAAGATCAACTGAGAAAACAGAGAAAACTCACAAAGGATCAAAGAAACAGAAGAAACACCACAGAGCAAGAGACCGGTCTAGGTCCTCTTCTTCCTCTTCCCAGTCGTCTCACTCCTACAAAGCAGAAGAGTACCCCGAGGAAGCCGAGGAGAGGGAGGAGAGCACCACAGGTTTTGACAAATCCAGACTGGGGACCAAAGACTTCGTGGGTCCAAATGAAAGAGGCGGCAGAGCTCGGGGAACCTTTCAATTTCAAGCAAGAGGGAGAGATTGGGGCAGAGGAAACTATTCTGGTAACAATAACAACAACAGCAACAATGATTTTCAAAAGAGAAACCGGGAAGAGGAATGGGATCCAGAGTACACACCCAAAAGCAAGAAGTATTGCTTGCATGATGACCGGGAAGGTGAAGGCAGTGACAAGTGGGTGAGCCGTGGCAGTGGCCGAGGAGCCTTCCCCCGGGGTCGGGGTCGATTCATGTTCCGGAAATCCAGTACCAGCCCCAAGTGGTCCCACGACAAGTTCAGTGGGGAGGAAGGAGAAATTGCATATGGTGAGAGTGGGCCAAAGGACAGTTTACAGCCCACAGCTGAGTAGGGGCCACTCTCGATGGAGCCCTTGCCCAGGGGAGAAAGGCGCTGGGAGAGGCTGGTGGCATTAAACAGGGAGCCTCCAGAAGATCCTGCAAATCCCACCCCACAACCCACCAGCCACACAGAACCCTACGACAGCAGAGCACACATCCCTGATGTTGCCCCACTGGACAGAGGATACTGGCCACAGCCTAGGATCAGGCCCATGTTTTGAGTGACCCACAATACAGTGGGCTCCTGACGTTTCTTGTTTGTTGTTGGTGTGTGAGGTGGGGGCGGGGTAGGGAGAATGATGCTTGTGCTTGGATTTGGGTTTTTGTTGTTGTTTTGTTTTTTCCCTATTAGAAACCAAGTTTTCTTAATTTCATTTCATTTGGAGCTAAGAGGATGA